TAGATCTCTTCCCTAAATCAGTATACTTAACAGATGAAATAAACTCTCCCGGGAATCTGCTTGATTGATGTCTAATAATTGCTACGCATTCCGGTGTGTTGGGCAACATGTCAAAGACATCAACCTCGGATCAAACCCAAGCACTTATCAGCTTACATGTCTTTTCAAGTAGAAGTAGAACTCCATCGCGACAATAAACAACACGGTCAGATCACAACAAGTTCATTCGAACAAGACGAAAGTTGTGAAAGAATGAACCGCCAGCGCGAACACGAGCACTATTTATGACACGCAATATTTACATAATAAAGAAGTAGTTTAATTCAAGTGCACTCATTCGGATCAAAACAAAACGATCGGCGCTTGAAATGATAAACTATTTTCGCTTTTGCTCTTCGCAGTGATTAAAACAACTCGTCCAAGATTCATTTTTTAATCTTTTGCGACGCTCTTTAATCCTAAAAACATATTAAGGCTAAAAATACACCGTGAATAGAAACTAAATCCATTCAAATGATTGCAGTTTATCGATCTCGAGTTCATTCATCTCAAGACAATGTAAACAAAAGGATACAAGATCACAAGTCTGTTCGCGCAAGGTAGCTTAATTACACTATTGTCCAAGTCTTTTGAAGTACCTTCCGCAGTTCCTTTGGTCTTCTTCCAAAATATCTCGCCTTTTTCGAAACGAATAAAACCGAAATCATTCGACACGTTTTCGGCAGCCACCGAAGGCAATGCCCAAAGGAATAAACCGAGCCTTCGAGGTAAAAAATCCAGCGGTGTCACCCATTTCAGTAAGTCACAAATAATCCGGGCTGGAGTCGTAATGTGGTAATGTAAAACAGCTTGTAATTAAGACTGATTTAAAGTACAGAAAATTATCAAAATAAGACAGAGGCAACAAATGATCCAGTTCTTGCACAAGAATATAGATCTTGTTCGATTTGTGCATATGAAAACAAAGAGCCTTAGGGCAGCAAAAAGTATTCTTTCAGTGGATGTGAGAACACATGCACTCATATTGCTACTTTAGATATTATCAAAATGTAAACTACCAGCAAGAACTACCTCAGGCATTTGCCAAGTCATTGAAAACAGAGGAAACAGTGACAAGAGTCTGCCTGTGCCCAATTTCAAGCAATGTTCGCTCTAAAAAAAGTCAAAATTGCCTTTGACCAATTGTAAGAAACATTGAAAATACAAATGAGCCAAGTAACCCAATGAGAACATCAAGAATCTTTTCTTGTGAGAAGTGGCAAATTACACTTCCCTCTGTTACTATATTCAGGAGATTGATGTATTGAAGATCTCCAACAATTAAAATTTGTGCTGGACATAATCTCTGATTGCTGAATCAACATCAGCTACTCTATGCAATAAAACAAGTTTTACAACCACATTAAAATCAAGCCAAAGCGCAAAAAGTGCCTGTAGCCAGTAAAAAAGAAAGAATATATATATACACATAAGTTAACGAATTAAAGAGGACGCATCAATTCTCTGTGACTCTGAGTTTCGTGCCTAGGCGCTTGTCAGACAGAAAAGTTCTGTCGGACAAGCGCTTAGACACGAAATTCAGAGTCACAGAGAATCGATGCATCTTCTTTAATTCTTTAACTTATGTATACTTAGCTCTGCTACCACATCATTGAGCACTTTAAGCCAAGGTAGACTCTACCCCCACATTTATATATATATAATGTTTTTCTAAAAACCATAAGCTAAAACACCAGAAATGGAAGTGGTAGTTTAGCTCAATGTGTGTAATTTTTCTCCCCTTCAAGACTTGAAAAACTAATGTACGACTCCCAAAATATCTGAAAAGAATCAGCTATTCTATGTGCAATATTTATCTAATGGTTTGACAACAGGAATTATTTAAAAGATTGCAAAATCAAAAAAACTAAACAAAAAAAGACAAAATTAATACAACCCCAAAGTACTTGAACGTTTGTATCTGGACTTCATTGGCAAATGGGCTGAGAAATTTTAGCTGTTCGTCTTAGTACCAAAGTAGCAGTTTTTTGGACTTGTACCTCCAAAATGGTCACAACCTCATTAAATGCATATGTGATGACAAACATACACAAGAACAAAGGTCATGAACTTAAAAGGTGAGAGTGATTATTTTGCAACTTTTTAGTTTAAGGCAAGAGATTCAGCACCACAAAATTGTCTCTCTTCACTGCAAAGCAGAAGAGGCGAAGCAATAGATTTTTAAACCAAACCAATCCATTCAGTTTCCAAGTCAACTTAGTCTAGTATCCTGCTTGCCATACAAGGATACTCTGCAATAATTTTTTTTTGCAATCCACTGCTGCTCAGAGTACTTTAGGTTGCTGATGAGATATCCCTTCTGGATATCCAACTCTACTGAGGCAGAGAACTGTACAAAAAAACAAACAAATGAGCGAATTAATTTGTTGTTGGAGAACAGTAAATTTTTGCAACTACAAAGTTGCAAAATGTTTGTAACCAAACTGTGCATAAGAAGTAAAAACACAATAATGGTGATCATTGATGGTGTATTTTCACTAAGCTGTATATGTACTTATCAAGAAAAGAAGTCATAGCTCTATGCACTTCAGTTTTAGTTCAGTATTCATGAATAAATAAGGATTGCTTGTAGACTTAAGAAACAAAACAAAGAAAAGAAAAGTTTCTTACCCTCGATGGTAGTTGGAATTTTGAAAGCCATCCAGGAGGAACCTGTAGGTAAATATTTGTTCTCAAAAAAATTAAACTGTCTGATAACATCCTATCCATTCACTAATTTTTTAATTTACCAGGTTTAAACATTGGGTTTACTTTGTTTTATGCATGGTGCAAGTAAATACATATCTAATATATTTCAATAAAAATAAAGCAAATCTCGCCTTTTTTGTGGGTGCAATCCCCGAGATTTCTCATCTTTAAGTGACCAACTGGCACCTTGTGTGTTTTCCTTTGGGATATAGTCGAAAGAAAGTAATCGATAATGTACTCTTCACCATCCTGCTAAGTTTAGGGCGACCCTAAAAGCCGGAACGGTGGAATGGTGGAATGGTGGAATGGCGGAATGGCGGAAAGTGACCCCAAATCCTAAAGCACGGAACGGCGGAAAATGACCCCAAATCCTAAAGCACGGAACGGCGGAAAATGACCCCAAATCCTAAAGCACGGAACGGCGGAAAATGACCCCAAATCCGGAACGGCGGAAAATGACCCCAAATCCTAAAACATGGAACGGCGGAAAATGACCCCAAATCCTAAACACGGAACGGGGGAAAATGACCTCAGATCTGATAATGTCGGAGTTTTAGTTAAGATTGCGTTAACAAGAAGTAAGTCAAGGTTTGTGATTGTATCACTGCATGTGGACAAAGTCAAACCCTGACAGGCCTAATGTCAATTTTACTCAAAAAAGAGAGGTTGATAAATTAGTTAATGGACATCCACAGCATGATATTAAACATTATTACGAGCAAAGATATTTTTTTCCGGTATTGACTTAATATCCGCGGAAGTTATCCTCCTAAGGGGAAATTAGCTTGGGTACACTTGATTTTTATTTAGCTCTCTTGATCCTTTGGCCTTGCCTATAATTCCGTCTTTTAGGCTTTGGGGTAATTTTCCGCCATGCCGTCTTTTAGGAGTTGCTGCTAGCAAATGACTGGAAAAAATGGGGTCAAATCCAAGGGAAATTGGGTCTTGTTCGGGTAAGCGGGGGTTTCGAGTTCGCCGGGTTCGAGTCAGCGGGGTTCTAGTGACAGGATCTATTCTCACCATGCAAATTAGAAGAATTAGTGAAATAGCCCCTTTTTTGTTTAGAAAGTTTATTTCTTCCGCTGATATGTAAGCCGTAAATTTCACAATAGGATGGTGGTGTTTTGGACAGCTGGTCGCGAAGAAATTCTTCAAATTCTTCTTGACGGCTTCCTTCTGCTAACTTTCTTTGTCTTTTCACGCCATGAGAAATTCCCACGCGCGTGACACCCTGCAAACCTCTCTTCAACTAGTGTTACTCAAGTCCCAAAACTTATTCGTGGATGAAAAAACGCTCGTATTGAAGGGCTCGTAACGAGGGCTTGCTCTCACGCTAGTCTAAGTTTGGAGCTGGGGCTGAACGTTGTCCTATTTTGAGAAGCCTGAAAACGTTCCTGTGATGTTCTCACATTTACAAGCATATGAGATATTATTGTTTCAATAAATCAATACAGACGTGACCAGGAAACGTATCAAAGTTATAATTGTTTATTGTAATGTGGTATGTCGAGTTGGTTTTCACATGCTGTGCGACTTTTTATGCCGCGACTAAAACTCATGGCAAATTTTGCATAACAAAAGGTAACTAAACAGGGTTACAACGCGAAAACGCAGCTATCTTTCATGCATAATGGTTCACTATTATTTATACCACTCAGTAAAAGAAAAAAAATTAATAACACTTAATTTTAGTCACGCGCGTTATCGTCGTGGGGATAAATGAGCCAAGCGCTTGGTGTCTTTGTACAAAATTTGTGCAACATGCCCTGACATCCGTTCCTTGTTTTAGGATTTGGGGTCATTTCCCGCCGTTCCGTGTTTTAGGATTTGGGGTCATTTTCCGCCGTTCCATGTTTTAGGATTTGGGGTCATTTTCCGCCGTTCCATGCTTTAGGATTTGGGGTCATTTTCCGCCGTTCCGTGCTTTAGGATTTGGGGTCATTTTCCGCCGTTCCGTGCTTTAGGATTTGGGGTCATTTCCCGCCGTTCCGTGCTTTAGGATTTGGGGTCATTTTCCGCCATTCCGCCATTCCGCCATTCCACCGTTCCGGCTTTTAGGGTCGCCCCTAAGTTTAATATCCAAGAACTTACTTAGACAGTACTCAGTTCTGTCGCCTCGTCCGTAAAACAGAGATCCTTGGGCGATTTACCCCTTTCTTTCGGTGCCAATGTCACCTCTAAATTTTCATAATCGCTAATGTTCTCTGAATCATCAATCGACGTTTGAACCGACTTACTCGAAGGACTTGATTCTGCACGCTGAAAGAGAGAGAGCCAAAAAAATCAGCTTAAGTGGATGCAAACAAAGACATAGACATAAAAATATCAGTTCATCTTTTCAAGAAAAAGATTAAGAATTCAGAGTGAGAGATCCTAAAATCAGAGAATCTTGAAATAAGTTAAATCCATCTTGTGCAAATGCAGTATTCGAACTGTAACCGTCTCTATCTCTCGGCGCCAAAATTTGATCACGTGACTTTAGTTGTGAAGACTCGGGAGAAGAGGCGAACCATTCATGCGTCAAATTCTCTGGTGGGAAAATTAATTATCGTACCGACGAAGAACTCGTGTCATCTCTAGGTTCAGCGTTCATTGCAATCAATTTCTTGAACTTTAGACGCTCTTTTATGATAGGGATATAGTGCCTTGGTACGTCTGCATCTTGGGCGATGGCAAGGAGATCTTGGCCATCGCAACCGTCCTTTTCTGCAAGATAAGATACGAACAAAGATCAATGGAGCGGTCAAGTTTGTGTATATAAAGTTGCAGTAAAATGCGTTGTTAAGAAATTTCTTTTGCTTACCTTTCCTTTCTTAAGTCTCATTCCATGCGACTGTAGCCAAGAAACAGCCTCTTCAGTGATGAATTCGCTGCTATAATTCATTATTGTGTCCGACGCACGTGGTTTAGGTTCGACTAATGCGATCACAGGTGGCATCTCTAGGTGAGGTGTCGTGTTATGTGGAATGTGATATTTTTACAAGAAACGTTGAAACAAAAACATCTAAGCCCTGCTTAGATGAAAAAGCAGTGCTTTATTTCTACATATCAGAAATCAACTTAGTGGTAATGTGCACATCGAGGCTTAATGCATTGAGAATGAATGCCTTTAAAATCCTTGTTACTTTTGGCCTAGTATTCAAACGGTTGGATAAGCACACAATTGACAATTGTGTTACTAAAAGTGGACCAAATAGTTTCGCTCGAGACTAGAATTTGTTCTCTAGGTGAGTTGTTGTGTTGTGTGGAATGTGATTTTTTAAATAAGAAAAGTTGAAAGCAAAACATCTAAGCCCCTAACATTCTTGCAGTGCTTTATTTCTACATATCAGAAACCAACTAAGTGGTAATGTGCACATCGGGGATAAGGTTTACTATTATTGCACTTTCGGTAAAGCATGATAATATCTTTCACTCCATATGTGAGTTCAGAAACTTTTGGTGAGTAATTATTATTAAAAATCCCATCACAAATGCTAAAATAAGCTAAAATAAGTGATTAAATGCTTCGGTTTGAAAATACACCATCAATTATTAGACATGCTCGTGGAACGAAAAGATGTGCTGGAACCACTTCCAAACTTCGATGGCTAAAACCCCGAACAAAATTTCCCGCTGAGGACTCTAAGCAAAGACAAGCCCAAACACGGCCAGCGACGACAATTATCGTACAACAAGCCTATTACATCGGTCGAGGACCAACTACTAAAAAGATAAAAATAAATGTGTAGTCTTGCAGCACATAACAAACCAAGGCTCACGAGACTCGCATAAGGATTCCAAAATAATCTAACAGGCCTAAACAATTCACAAACACTAAGCTAGAACATTTCTAATTTTACTAGTTGCCAAATACTTCTAAATTTTCGTAGTTCATAACAATTGACGAAGTGAAAATGGAAAAAACTCAATTTCCTTCTTGTCAAAAGACATCTAAGAGGAAAGAAAGAAAGTTATCATGTTCACGCCGAACTCTGTCAAAATCAAGCTGTTTATCAAAATCCATATTTATATTTGCCTAGGTTGATGGATGTACGGTCGCAATTTTCGATTTAACAGGAATATTTTCGGTATGCAGACCTGGCGTTTGACCTCTCGTATCGAACTCAATATTAACTCCAGGGCGAAATATCAGTAGATGGGTGGACCCACCATAGTGAAACATGCCGAGCTGGTCACCTTTCTTCACTTTATCCTTTTCTTCAATCGTGATTTCGTTGGAGGACACCTCTGACATACCGAGCGATACGAAGCACATCAAGCCAATGTGGGGATTATCAGCTTGTATGTAGATAATACCTCTGGCAGCTACTTGGGCTAGGTATCCTTGTGACATGCATATGTTGGGCGGCGCGGGGCTATCCTGAATGTCGTGGGTTGCAGAATAATAAGAACCATCCACGAGCTCTATCTTGTAAATGGTGCCCGACACAGGACTGTGCCATCGGTGATAACTGGTGGCACTTAGGTACGCTTGGTAGACGGTTCCACCATGAAATTGCTTGGCAAGGTCACTCATGTTCAGGATGAAGTCCAATGAGTACCGTTGGTGCTTTGCCCAGAAGAAGTCCCTCTTTTTCACGGCTGTAGAGATCTGGTATGGCGCCGACTCACAGGCATTCGCAACAATGGAATCGTCGTCTGGAGATGCTACTGGACGAATGCCATCACGAAACTCTCTGGTGAAGAAGTCATCCCATGATGTAAAACCATAATGTTTTTCATTAGGCCTGCATTTGAATTCACGGACGAAGTTTGGCATTGCTTGCATTGCGTCTTCACCAAACCAACCATGACGAGGATCATCAGTCAACACGTGACATGAAGCAGAGCTGGAAAGAAACTTTCCCCAATAGTTGAGAATACTTTTGAACAACCTGTTGACTTTGTCGTTGAGGAAAGCAGAAAATCCAGCAGTCGTAGCCATCGGCCAGTTCAGGATTACATTGATAGGGAGACCAACCAAACTGGTTTTGTTGTACTCTGGAGCTGTTGTCATGATGTAGTCGATTAAAATAATCATAAGTTGCCAGCAAGGGATCCTTGTTCCTAGCGAACTATCTCGAATCTTGTACTGTTGCCAGAACATCTGATGGAAGAACATGTTGATCTCGGGATCGGAGATGATAGCTTTCAATAATTCTTGAACGGGTGGATGGAGACCGAGGTCTTCCTCTGTACCGTGAGCAACCATCGGCGGAGTTTCACCACTAGCTGTTTCTTTATCTTCAGCTGGTGGATAAAGAGCCATCAATAACTCTAACTTATCTTTGTATTTAGTTTGGACTTCTATGATCAAGTTGGCTAACCATTTGTCAGGAAATTTGTGGTCAGAGGGAATCCATTGAGCAACTCGGTAAGGTTTGGAGCTCATGATTATGTTGCATGTAGTTCGCGGCTCATTTTGCTCGTAAATGATATACTCCTTATGAATGGTCTGCTTTTAACTGTAATATCGATTTCATCGCGCAAGCGCAAATGACACTAAAATGCATGTGCATAAAATGCCTGATAAAGGATTAAAGCGTTTTTTCAAGATAACAGTAATTAATTGTTTTTTTCCTGCTTGATAAAAGTGCTTTGTCCAGATGACTCGTAAACTTCTTTCTCACAGGCGTTTTTTGAGTTTTAGAAATAATTTAGCAAAACTTAATGAGATGGCTAAGACAAAACTTGGAATGCGCGTGTGTGGAACTGCGCTTGTGAAGCCTTTGTCTAGAAATTTTTACCATTATGTAATAATGTTCTCAAAAAAGCCATTTATTATACTACTAACCACAAAATGGTAATTATTTGATGATATATACATAATAAAACAATACTGCATATCCATAACAAAAGAACTCTCGGAAATACTTTCCACGGATTTACGTTGTTAGAGAAACACGAACTTGAAGACTGATCAGTTCTTGAAAACTTCTTTCTCACAACCTGATTTAAAGATCATATTCAAAATATGTTGAGAGCGTAAGATACACTTAATTCGTAGCCAAACGCAGTTTAAATGAGAGTTCTATCACATCTTAGCACGAGTAAACTTATTCCAATTCTTGAACCTGTAACGTTTATGACACTTGTTTAACATTAACTTTGATTGAGAATCAGAGCGGTGAAATATTGAAATATTCTTTTTAAACATTCCTGCTAACAACATCATATTCCAAACAACGCCTTCACACGAAGAAAAAAAGCTTAGTTCTTAGTGCACTTGATAAAGTTGTTTTCATTCCAAGCATCGTCAATCAATGTCGTTTAGACAAGCATAAGGTATTTCATGCGCGTACGTTAGTATATCAAAGCCTATTTGTTTCTGCAATCCCAGTGGTTCAAATAACGGTTATAGCGGGTTTCGCCCATAACGAGTTTCGCACATATCGTTTCGCCCAGAACGAGAATGGTTTCGCCCAGAACAATAAAGGTTTCGCCCATAAGTAAAACTTCTACACTCTAACGGAAAACGTCAACCTTATAAACGTTTGTATGCACAGAATGAAGAAAAGTGACTTGACCTGAGATCATGAAATTTTGAAACGAACAAGTTACTGTTGAAACGAACAAGTCAATTATAGCTTTCACTGTGGGGGGGATTGTTAAGGTAATTCGCGCACGAAATACTGCAGAGACGTCCGTTTGTCGTAAAAGCATTGCTATGATTTTTTTGCATCACTTTTTTCTTCTCGAGAATTAAATTAAACGCTTTTGAAAACACTTGCGCGTGGAACATATCATCGTTGCAAATCTTTTGTAGACGGAAGATAAGTTCCGCACGCCAGCTTATGAATACATGTGAATACGGTTTCGTGAATACTAAAACAAAGGAATCGAGAGTTAAAGATTGTATTTCTGACATAGGCAACGGTAACATATAATTGGAAAAGAGATAGAATAGATATGCCTGGGCGAAACCATTCTCGTTATGGGCGAAACGCTTCTTGGGCGAAACTCGTTATGGGCGAAACCCGCGGATACCCAAATAACACGTCAATATTGCGTAGACATTGACATGCAGCGCTTTTTCTCGATAAGATTGCTTATGTGGAAAAGCGTTTTGGTGACAACTTATCTAGCCTTCGTAAAGCTGTACCCTACCCTCCTCTCCCCAAGGTAAAACAAAGGCGAGGTAACGTCTACCCAAACCTGACATTAATCGTGTTCCGTGACGTCACTCTTTTTCAAGAAAATGTATAATGACTTTTTATTGGCTAACCTCTCTTACCAATTCTTTCGTCAATTTTGGTTGGCTAGAGTTGGTAATATAACTAACGAAGCAGACGTTGAACAAAACTCTTTCATGGTCAACTTTTCAGACAACAGCGATGTACGACAAGGTTTTAAGGCAAGTTTGCGCGACTTTTGGAATAGAGACATTTCAAGAAGAACAGCAGAAAGCCATAGATATGTTTTTGGAAGGTAACGATGTCTCCATTTCGTTACCAACTGGCTATGGAAAATCTTTAATATATTAAGGAGCGCCAGTGATCGATCACCTCTCTTCTCTAGAAGGAACCGGTCACTATATCTACCGTGCCGCCCGTTAAAGCTCTCACAGAAGACCAGGTGCACTATCTTAATGTACTTGAACCAAGAGGATTGTCCGCTTTCAACCTTCGGTATTTTCGCGAATGGTGCTGTGAATTTATTAAGACCGTGTCCGGCTGCCGGACGTTCAGTCACTTAATTTAAAGCTAGTTTTTTCTTGCAGCGATTCTTTCGACTGAAAAAAGTGTAGCCCTTTCTTCACACTTGCAGCGTAACTATCCCTTAAAGAAATATGTAAGAACCTTGAGACTGCGGCAAATTATTCAACCTTTTTCGTCGACCGTGGCACTATTTACAAATGCAAGCAGAAACCGCGTGGATTTCATGAGTACAATGCCAATCGAACATCGTCCTCTTCTTAATCTATGCCAAAAATGGCTCACAATCTTTTCCTATATCCTTAAAGCAAAGTATTTATTTGAAATCGAGCGCTGATTTGGAAATTTACCTGAAAAATAGAAAATGAATTCACTTCAGTGTTGTTGTTTATCTCGATAACCTTCACGCTAACACGTGCCGCTTCACAAAAAAATATTATCAAATGACATTATTTTGCATAAATTAGAGTGACGTCTCGGAAGACAATTAGCGTAGACGCTCCCTCTTCTCCGTTTCACTCTGGGGGGAGATGCGGCTACACGTAGGCTACTGATCAAACCTCTTCTGAACACATCCAAGAGACTGGACAAAGAGAAAAACTTCCCGGGGCTCCGTCTGAATGGTCGAATATTTAACTTTTTATGGGTAGTACACTGTATGTTGCTTTACCCACGATGTCCACAGCTTTGTGGTTTTAAATAATTAATTAGTTTATTTTTATACTGCCAACGTTTAACCAGGCTGGCCCAGTTCAGGAACAAAGTAGTTTAAAATATGGGCCTTGTGCAGACAAAGTTTACCAGGAGGGGTCGCTTTTCTATAACAAATCGATCAACTCTTAACTGCATCCAATGTCCAGAAGTTTTGTATAGAATGCGACCATCTTACCAACTGCTTTGCTTCACTATCTCCAAAATATATAAATCTTACATCCAAATAACTTTTGCTGAAAAGTCCACAAGACTAATGTCACTAGAGACAACAACGCTTTTAACACTTTAACTCCCGCGAGTGACCAGGGGAGAACATCTCCTTACTATATCTATACAATATCATGCAGACAAGTAGTGAGAATAAAGAAAAGTTTCAAATATGGGATTACTAATTGATCCAACACCAAAGTCTCCAAACCAACATGATGAGAATCGTTTAGCAGGCGGTAAGGAGAATTACCAATGAGATCTTGGGGTTTAAAGGGTTAAACTCACATGAGAAAGAAGGGGCGGGAAAAGTAATAGGCACGCGAAGCACATAAAACACATTCAAGTCATCTTCAGCTCGTGGATATTGCAACAGACTAATCTCCTGTGACTTTCATTGATTTAGGTCAATGTAATCTTGTAAGGCTGAATTTTCTTAATTTTGTTTGACCCTTTACCTCCCATGAGTGACCAATAGAAAAATTTTCCTCACAATATTTAGACAATATCAAGCCTAGAAGCGATTGGACTAACGAAAAATATCAATTAGGGGATTTTTAGTTGTTCCATTACCAAATTCTCCAATTGACATCATAAAAATTGTATGGCAGAAAGTAAGGGGAAAAACTAACGAGATCTTGGAGTTGAAGGGTTATAGACTTTCATTTGAAGATTCTGCGACCAAGCTACAGCCAGCTAAGTGCTCAATTGCAATACTATATTTTAGGGTTCGTCTACCTGCCCAAAAGTCCATGTATTGCCAACCGCCATTTTGTGCTTTCGACGACGCTTTTAATCTTTCTTAAATTATGTAAAGTCTCTCGAAATATATCTTACTTCATTTGGTTGCACATATTTGGATTGAGCGCCGTCTTGTCTAAGAATAATGCCATCCCTTCAAAAATGAGTCAAATTTTCTCTGCATGAAGAATTCAAGTTTCTTCTTCATTGAAGGCTGCATATTGCTAAAGTCAGTCTTAAAATATTTGTTTAATATCGAATCCCCTAGGGATTATGCTCGATGCAAAATCAGATTATTAAAACTGTTCGAATTGAATGCAGTTCTCTTTAAAGATACTAAGCCTATGATGATGACTTATTTAATTCGTCAGAATTTGTTCGGCTTGACTAACAACAGCGCAATGTTTAGGTCATCTTGAAAATCTCTTAGAAAACTAAAGCTTAAATTCCCGGCTTGGGCCTAAAGAAGGTTTCTATTTAATATATAAATATATTTATATAGATATAAAGGGTCTTGATATTAGCAGGCAAGTCAAGAATTTAAAGAAAGCGACAAAACTTTTAAGTCTGTAATACATGTTTCGACAGAAGCGTTGTCGCGTTGGATCACGCCTCTACCGGTTTCCAACTCAAGATAAATGAAGCTAATCATATTCAAAAAGAACAACCATCCTTGAATCAACAATTACACCATGTAAATCTAAAACTATACTTTCTATTTTCACACTTTCATGCTTTACTTATTTTCTTGATGTCACCATTTATTATAATTAGCATTATGTTACTTACTCTATAAATTGAACTTCCAACGCTTTGCACATTAATTAATTGAAGATGACAGAAGTTTCTGTCGAAACATGTATTACAGACTTAAAAGTTTTGTCGCTTTCTTTAAAATACATATATATATGTATCAAAGAATGCCTTTAAAATCCTAATTACTTTTGGCCTAGTATTCAAACGGTTGGGTTAGCACACAATTGACAATTCTGTTACTAAAAATGGACCAAACAGATTCGCTCAAGGCTAGAATTTGTTCTCCTGGTGAGGTGTTGTGTTTTTAACAACAACAATTGAAAGCAAAACAAAGCCCCTAACACTCTTGCAGTGCTTTATTTCTACATATCAGAAATCAACTAAGTGGTAATGGGCACATCAAGGATTACCTTTACTATTATCGCACTTTCGGTAAACCATGGGAATATCTTTCACTCCAAATGTGAGTTAAGAAACTTTTGGTTAGTAATTATTTTTAAAAATCCCATCACAAATGCTAGAATAAGTGATTAAATGCTTCGGTTTGAAAATACGCCATCAATTATTAGACATGCTCGTGGCACAAAAAGATTCGCCTGAAAAACGTCCAAACTTCGATGGCTAAAACCTTGAACAAAATTTCCCAAGGACTAGCGAAAACGCGGCCAGTGATGACAATTATCGTACAACAGGCCTATCACATCGGTCGAGGACCAACTACCGAAAAGGTGTGGTCTTGCAGCACATAACAAATCAAGGCTCACAAGACTCACATAAGGGTTGCAAAATAATCTAACAGGCCTAAATAATTCACAAACACTAAGCCAGAATATTTCTAGTTTTAGTAGTTGCCAAATACTACTAAATTTAGTGGTTCATAACAATTGACGTAGTGAAAATGAAAAAACTCAATTTCCTTATTTTCAAAAGACATTTTCAATGAGGAAAGAAAGAAAATTATCATGTTGACACCGAACACTGACAAAATCAAGCTTAAAAAACTTATGTTTGCTTAGATTGATGGATGTACGGTCGCAATTTTCGATTTAACAGGAATATTTTTGGTATCCAGACCGGGTGTTTGACCTCTAGTATCGAACTTGATATTTACTCCAGGGCGAAATATCAGTAGATGCGTGGACCCACCATAGTGAAACATGCCGAGCTGGTCACCTTTCTTCACTTTATCCTTTTCTTCAACGGTGATTTCGTTGGAAGACACCTCTGACATACCGATTGATACGAAGCACATCAAGCCAATATCGGGATTGTCAGCTTTAATGTAGATAATACCTCTGGAAGCTACTTGGGCTAGGTATGCTTGTGACATGTTGGGCGATGCAGGGTCATCCTGGATGTCGTGGGTTGCAGAATAATAAGAACCATCCACGAGTTCTGTCTTGTAAATGGTGCCCGACACAGGACTGTGCCATCGGTGATAACTGGTGGCACTTAGGAATGCTTGGTAGACGGTTCCACCATGAAATTGCTTGCCAAGGTCACTCATGTTCAGGATGAAGTCCAATGAGTACCGTTGGTGCTTTATCCAGAAGAAGTCCCTCTTTTTCACGGCGGTAGAGATCTGATATGGCGCCGACTCACAAGCATTCGCAACAATGGAATCGTCGTCCGGAGATTCTACTGGACGAATGCCATCACGAAACTCTCTGGTGAAGAAATCATCCCATGATGTAAAACCATAATATTTTTGATCAGGCTTGCATTTGAACTCTCGGACGAAGTTTGGCATCTCTTGCATTGCGTCCTTACCAAACCAACCATGACGGGGACACTCATTCAACACGTAACAAGAAGCAGAACTGGAAAGAAACTTTCCCCAATAGTTGAGAATACTTTTGAACAACGCGTTGACTTTGTCGTTGAGGAAAGCAGCAAATCCATGCCAGCAGTCGTAGCCATCGGCCAGTTCAGGATAACATTAATGGGGAAGCCAACCAAACCGGTTTTGTCGTACTCTGGAGTTTTTGTCATGATGTTGTTGATTAAAATGATCATATGTTGCCAGCTAGAGATCCTTGTTCCTGTCGAAATATTTGGATTCTTGTTCTGTTGACAGAACATCTGATTAAAGAACATGTTGATCTCGGGGTCGGAGATGATAGCTTTCAATAAATCTTGAACGGGTGGATGGAGACCGAGGTCTTCCTCTGTACCGTAAGCAACTACCAGTCGAGTTTCACCACAATCTGTCTCTTCATTTACAGCTGGTGGATGAAGAGCCATCAATAACTCTAACTTATCTTTGTATTTAGTTTGGACTTCTGTGGATAAGTTGGCTAACCATTTGTCAGTAACTTTCTGGTTAGAAGGAATCCATTGACCAACACGGTAAGGTTTGGAGCTCATGATTATGTTGCATGCAGTTCGCGGCTCGTTTTGCTCGTAAATGATATACTACTGTTGAAAGTGTCTGCTTTTAACTGCAAGCGAAACTGACGCTGGAATGCGTGTGGGTGGAAATGTGTTTGAGAAGCCTTTATCTAGAAATGTTTCCTGCCTGATAAAGGATAAAAGTGCTTTGTTCAGATGACAGGCCCCTTTCATACCGTGACCATCAAGAGGTTGTTAAGGGTTGGCCTCATTGCGAACAATATGCCGGAGTGTGAAAGGCATAAGCTATGTTCCGAGGGAATTAAATAAAGTAAAACATTTTGGAGACGTCTACATGCAGATTTTCTTATCGGAGTATACAAGAATAAGGGAATAACTGCGTTTCACTCACTTTCTGAGGGGTCATGCTTTCTTGAACTTTAGGTTACAGGGAACTGAAGTGGTTCACCGAAATAGACGCTCTTTGTTGTCTGTTTGAATATCAGAGATGCGTGTCTTTGTTGGGATCATTGTGAGATTTGGCCTAAGACAAATTATCCCGAGCTAGAACATTTTAGCTTTCAATAGTCCTCAGTAGTCCATGGATCATAACATGAATGTCAACCTAATTTAAAGATCACATTCAAAATATGTTGAGAGAGTTAGATACCTTTAATTCGTAGCCAAATGCAGTTTAAATGAGAGTATTATCAAATATTAGAATGAGTAGACTTATTCCAATTCTTGAAACTGTAACGTTTATGACGCTTCTTTAACTGACTCCTGTTTTACCACATTAGCTTTGATTGGGAATCTGAGTGGTGAAATATCGAGATTTTCTTTTCAAACGTTCCTGTTAACAGCATCACATTCCAAACAATGTTTCCTTTTCTCCAATGTTGTAATAGGACAGTTGAAATGAAACGGTGTTTTTTAACTCTGTACACAGGATTCTTTTATCGTTTAATCAGTCGCCAACCGCCATTTTGTACTTTCGACGACGCTTGTAATTTTTTTTTTTTAATTATGTAAAGTCTCTCGAAAAATATCTTATTTCAGTTGGTTGCACATATCAGGATTGAGCGCCGTGTTAAAAGACAAAATTGGCATCTAGCGAGAATTTTCATTATAGGTGTTTTTTGGCTTATCTAGACGTTGAAAATGAATAATATATTACAATAAGCTATTCAGTAAAAATTCTGCTAAGCCAGTTGATCATTTCTTATTCCTTTTGGCGATCTTATTTCAACACGTTCGACATCTCTTTTTCTTAGATGTGACTTAAGGTGTAAACATGTAGTACTTTTCATCCTCCCCACTGAGTTTATAATCAGGAAACTTATACGAATAGCACGTAGCTTTCTTGGAGGCGGTACCTAGGGTACGCCCTTTCTCCTCCGAATTTTCTGTTTATTCTGTCGTTATGTAACAGTCTTCGAGGACTATTTTCTCTTAGGATATCTCCTCGACTATGATTTTGATTCTGTTAGTAAGAAATTTTTGGGCACAGAATTAGCACAGTTGAAATAGGACAGTTGGAATGAAACGGTGTTTTTCAACTCTGCCCTCAGGGTAGTCTTGTTTTATCGTTTAATCAGTCGCCAACCGTCATTTTGTGCTTCCGACGACCCTTTTAATTTTGTTTTAAATTATGTGAAGTCTCTCGGAAAATATCTTATTTCAGTTGGTTGCACATATCAGGATTGAGCGCCGTGTTAAAGGACAAAATTGGCATCTAGCAAGAATTTTACTTACAGGTGTTTTTTGGCTTATCTAGACGTTGAAAATGAATAATATATTACCATAAGCCATTCAGTAAAAATTCTGCTAAGCCAGTCGATCATTTCTTATTCCTTTTGGCGGTCTTATTTCAACACGTTCGATATCTCTTTTTCTTAGATGTGACCTAAGGTGTAAATATGTAGTACTTTTCATCCTCCCCACTGAGTTTATAATCAGGAAACTTATACGAATAGCACGTAGCTCTCTTGGAGGCGGTACCTGGGGTACGCCCTTTCTCCTCCAAATTTTCTGTTTATTCTGTCGTTATGTAACAGTCTTCGAGGACTATTTTCTCTTAGGATTTCTTCTCAACTATGATTTTGGTTCTGTTAGTAAGTTTATTGTAATTTTTATATTGTCAATCTTGTTTTTGTTTTGCCCGAACTTGACCGTAAGACTAAAAAAAATTTAAGTTAGAAAATCCTTTTGTAAAGCGTAAACATCTCGAAGGTGCCTACTTAGTAAGCAAACTCTGCTCTGCGTGGCTTAACGAGATTCGCTAGTCAAGTGTAAAAGGATAACGAAGGTTGGAGATTGACAGCTCCGTAAGCGTCACCTTTATAGTCGGTGACCCACACTTTCCATGAAAGATTTGAGCTAGTCCCGAGGTAATAAGTTGAATACAAGAAAGAGAAGAATAAAGAAACCTTCAACTGTATAAAGCTGGAAACCACAGGATAAGCTGGAAACCACTCCGCTTCGCGTCGTGGTTTCCTACGCTTATCTCGTGTTCTCCCAACCTTCCGCGTGTTTACATTAGGCTATGTAAACACGGAAACCATTTTACATTTCTTCAATGTAATATAGAAATATATATGTTTATATCTAAGATAACCTTTAAAATCCTACAGCACTTATTCAAGCCAATCTCATTCATTTTGGCCTAGTGGTTAAACGGTTGGGTTAGCGCACAATTGACAATTGTGTTACTAAAAATGGACCAAATAGGTTCGCTCGACTTATTAATTTCATTCGGTAGAATTTGTTAGGCTTGACTGACTACAGCGCAATGTTTAAATCATCTAGAAAATCTCCTAGAAAACTAAAGCTTAAATTCCCGGCTTGGGCCCAGAGAAGCTAGAGAAGGTTTCTATGTAATCGATGTTCTATCTCATACAAATATATATAGTAAATATAAATGAATGTGGGTAGAGTCTACCTTGGCGTAAAGTGCTCAATGCTGTGGTAGCAGAGCTAAGCATACATAAGTTAAAGAATTAAAGAGAACGCATCGATTCTCTGTGACTCTGAGTTTTGCGCTTAAGCGCTCGTCAGACAGAACTTTATTCAATGAAAAACATACCTCCTTATATACAAATTAGATAAGTAGCTAATTTATCCACTGCCGTGTGATGATCTAATCTACGTGTGAAATAAAGATTCTATAGAGCTATAGAGGGCAGTGGTTTTTTTTCCTTGCAGTTACAGTTGCTTTCCGTGAAGGGTGTCTTGCTTGTCTCGAGGATTTTTCTGATGCGTTTCTTAATTATGGTTTGTAGGTTGTCTGTGCAGCTATAACAAACTTTTATGTCGTTTTTGTTGAAAATCTTGTTGTACCGGTGATTTTTCGGAAAATGTTTACTGACGAAGTTCAGAAACTCTCTGCCGATGATGCCGTTTGATTAAACCAAATTATGTTCCTTTGTATGTTTAGCTACTTATCTAATTTGTATATATGGAGGTATGTTTTTCATTGAATAAAGTTCTGTCTGACGAGTGCTGAGGCGCGAAACTCAGAGTCACAGAGAATCGATGCGTCCTCTTTAATTCTTTATGATATATAGTATATATATATATATATATATATATATATATATATATATATATATATATATATATATAAAATCCTACAGCAATTATTCAATCCAATCTCATTAATTTTGGCCTAGTGTTTAAAGTGTCTTTAAACGGTTGGGTTAGCGGCAAAAAAACGCGCTGATGCAGTAACTTCAGTGGCTCTAACGTTACGGTATTTTATGGGTTGTTATAATTGACAGAGATGAACGATGCCAAAATTGACAATTGTGTTACTAAAAATGGACCAAGCAGGTTCCCTTGAGGCTAGAATGTGTTCTTCAGGTGGTGTGTTGTGTGGAATATGATGTTTTTAACAAGAAAAGTTGAAAGCAAAACACCTAAGCCCTTCACACGCTTTCAGTGCTTTATTTCTACATATCAGAAAATCAACGAAGTGGTAATGTACACATTGAGGATTAAGTTCTCTATAATCGCACTTTCGGTAAACCATGGTATGGAATACCTTTCGCTCCAAATGTGAGTAAAGAAACTTTTGGTTCGTAATTATTATTAAAAATGCCATCGCAAATGCTTGATTAAGTGATTAAATGCTTCGGTTTGAAAATACACCATCAATTATTAGATATGCTTGTGGCACAAAAAGATTTGCATAAAAAGGGTTTTTTCCACATGTTATTGGACTGTTTTCAAATACACGAATAATTTCACGATACATTCGAAAAAACAACTGGTGGTTGAAAAACTTCCAAACCTCGAGAACTAAAACCTTGAACAAAACTTCCCGCTGAGGACTCTAAGCAAGGACAAACCCAAACACGACTATCGATGACGATTATCGTACAAAAATTAAGGCCTATTACAACGGCTGAGGACCAGTCACTCAAAAGG